TAGGTTCCTGGGTGATTTTCTGGCATGAACAAACAAGACCCGATACTGTTGTGATATTAGACGTGATAGAGTTTTCTATTGACTTGCATTGGAGTTGTGGGTAGAGCTCGTGATTCGAAGCAGTGTGGGAAAGTATGCACATGATTAACAACGTATCTTGGTGACAATATGGATTTCATATTATGAAAATTGTGAGGAAATTCTCGTTGGTTTCTATACACTCCTATCCGAATTAGTATAACTAGTGAGAGACGAATTCTGAGCTCAGCTGAGGGAAACGAACATGTACTCTTCTAACACTGTTTGGAACATTCCGCTGAAAATATACCATGCCCTGTTTGAATGCAATGGAGTTTCACGACCGTAATATGAAAAACATACTTCACATTTCACTTGGCGAAAAACGCATGTGAGCAGTTATGAGTAACGCCTTCAACACGTGAGGTGTTTCACGTGGAATGGGGTGATTTGTCCGGTGTACTCCGCCAAATATTTTCAATTCAGCTCGTATCGTGTTTTTTACATGGAGCATTACAACACTTCACGTGAAACGGGCGGACCTTCAATGCACGGGATGTTCGAAATACGAGGCGAAGTAGATTGATATTTCAATGGAGTGTTGGCACAGTTTCTGCAGGTCGCAACGAAATTTCCGCCACCCTCGAGGATTATATACATTGACAAGGCCGGAAATCAAGCTGTACGACAATATCGTTTGTCTTTCACGCTGTGTTATAGAATGTGTGACTTTGATATGATGCAAATATGCGTGATTTTCCGAGAATAATAAGAATCCATCTGGAACAAGATCGCATAAACAATGTAAACATTGCTATGAACATGTGAAGTGATAAAAGTAACCTTCCGAGACTATGATAGCGACAAGTTGTTCACTATCATTAATCCCGGAATAGAAAACGCACATTCTTCACATTTATATATCACATTGCCACATACACTGTGCGCGACACATTTATGCGACATGTTGTTTTTCAGGTTTTCGGTCCTTCCCCCGCTGGTCACAGAAGAATCTCCGATGATGATCGAAACGTGAATCAACATTTCGTAGAGTCGCTTTCTCGCCGGGTGTGTCCACGGCGATCTAGGTACATCCGGTCTTCGGTATTGAAGAGTGCGATGAAAATACCAGCGAGCAAACGTGGGATGAAGATTTATGGAAACCACAGAGTTGTTAGGAAATTTCACTCCAGGATGAACTCAAACTTTCACTTTCAAATCTAACATGATGATAACTGTTATACGCTGATTGACGTTGTTGAGTTGTCTCGCGCGAATAACCGTTTTATTGCTAATGTTTTGCGACATCAGTGTTCACCAATACTTTGGTCGTTTGCTCTTTCACATGATTCCCTGAACATGGAATGTCCATGGATTCACCTGCTGTGTGAACCTTCACCCTTATTCTTCCCCTCTTGAGCGATAGTCGTGGCACAATCAGAGAGGAAATTCTTGAAGGAAATTGACTTTGACAACCCTCGAGAGTGAACTACCGTTGTGGCTCTACACGCACTGTTACTGTTATTCATTTCGTCGAAGGCCAGGAACGGTTGATCACTTGAACGGTCTCAAGTAAACCGATGTTGGAATATGTTTGGTTTCCTTAGTTAATGTATGAAGTTCCCTCACCAAATATAGTAGGGATAGTTAAGTTTACATACGATTTCGGGTGGAATCGCTCAGAAACCAACAAGAATTTTCTCACCATATTGTGAGCAACACACGTAGTTGACCATGTGCATATTGTCCTACACTGCCATAGTCCACACCAGCAGCGGGCACATGATGTGTGTCTACCTATACTTAGTAGTTCTCTTCGATAGCCTATGACACGATGAGTCCTAGAATATTCCTTCGAGATACGCTGCAAGATGAGGAGGAATCTTCTCTACATGGAATCGAGGCGATAGATGATCATCGCACTGGGTAAGTCAATTCAATCAACGGCGAGCCTTGATGCAATGCAAAGAATCACCATGCAAAATTCAACCTCTGGAAGGTTGAAATTTTCCCTTCCAGAGACTTTCGTGTGTCAATTTCAGTCCTCACCTACTGATGAGCCCTCCGCCCAGGCAAGTTCCCCGATCAGTGCCGTCCAGCCGCGCCCTAGTGAGCGACTCACATTCTTATGGAACACACCTTCTGGTCTTTTCTAGTCTCAGAAACTTTCCGCACCATCACCAGTGATTCCGTTACAGAATACCAGTGGTACGTTCTCCTTAGACTGGATCCTCAGCTTGGCGGGCACTGTTGTCAAGTGGCCTTAATTTTGAAAGCCTATGTCAATCATGTTTTAGAGAGATTCATCTTGGTTGATGGACGTGTGGCAGGTTTAATAGTTGTCAGTGACATTAGGAGTCCTAATTCCGCCCTCTCATCGCTATAGTGCGTGTTAATTGGTATAAAATGTCAAGAATTTGCGCTTTCTATTCCTGCCCGAATTTCCGGGATTAGAGATAGTGAACAACTTGTTGCTATCATAGTCTCGAGAGGTTACTTTTATCACATCACATGTTTATAGTAATGTTTACATTGTTTGTGCGATATAGGTTCAGATCGATTTTTATTAATCTCGGAAAATAACACACGTTTGCATCACATCAAACTGACAGGTATGATCATAGTTCTCATAGCAGTGCTCGCGATACGACTTTTTATTAATACGTCTTCTCGTAAGCGGCAATATGGCACCTGCAGGTTCTCAAATACTACAGTCTCCAGCAGAATCGTCAATATCACCAAAGTGAACCACACCTACTGGGAGAAAGAAGTTTTTTCTCCTATCCCAGGACGACTTTCAATTTTGCACTGCGTCCACGCGTGAAACCTTTCGAGATCAAAAGTGCTGAATCCTTCACAGTAGGAATGGAAAGCCTTCGATTGAGCGCGACGCAGGCAGTGTGGGAATATATGTTTGATTTCCTCAGCTGAGCTCGTGAGTTCCCCCACTACATTATGAGAATCCACACACAGTCGTGTGTCACACGATTTAGGGTTCAAGTATACAAAAACCAACGATAATTTCTCAGAATTTTCATATTGTCACCTTCACATGTAGTTGACCATGTGCATATCAGTGTGGGAAAATATACACATGTTCAGCCACATATGAAGGTGAGTCACCTATACTGTCACCTTAGGTGACAGTATAGGAATTCTGATGAAATTCTTGTTCGTTTCTGTACACTCCTACCCGAATTCGTCTATAAACTTTCTAATCGGTGAAAAAACTTTCGAGCTCAGGTGAGAAAAGCGAACATATATTCCAACGCTGATGCATGTGTTAGGAATATAATGTTCCTGCACTGCCCGTAGGCATCACAGCTACCCGCGGCGCCCAGTATTCCCAGAGATGCCCCCATCTCCATACCGAAGCCATTGAGTGCTCCACCACATGGGAAGAAAACGGTGACGTCCTACGATGAAATTGACACACAGCTCAACTGCGTGTCAGGCTCGACGTGCTGCAGAGTCGTCGAACTCGTGTTTCACAGAACCTAGTAGGTAAATCCTATAACGTGTTCGCACAGTAGACTCTACTGAGTAGAGGAAATAGGTATAGTATTCATATAAAATACTTCAATATTAGAGCTAAATAACAATATATTTGTAATGTCTGATAATGAAAATTGAATAGAAATAGATATACTCGAGTTTCACCCGTGATATGAAAAACACTAGTGAAACATGTATCGCACGACTACTGCATACCGCGAATACCGCGTTTTTCATGGGAGGTTTACGCCACTCCACCGTGGAGTGGTTCACGTGGAGTCTCCACGTAAGACGGGTGGAAATCCATTAGAAACGCCAATACATAATACCAGAATGATATCGAGAGACTCTCGATGACCTAAGATACCATCTTCAAATCTGTGATGCTTAGTTCTCTGGGACAATGCTGAAATCCTGGAAGAATTCACTCGATCTATTTTCAACCACCAAATGACGAGTGGCGATGTTGTCAGAGCTCTGAAGGAGTATTATAAGAAGTATAAAATTGAGGTCTGGTCACAAATTTCGAAAGCGCGTTTGAACGTCAGGCTAGGGTCACTCCGGGCGTCACTCCTCGAAGAACCTGGACCGACTGGTGCAGCTGCCGCTGAGTGGCTGATTGGTTACCATGACTTGATACAAATAGCAGGAGAAAAGACTCGATGTACATCTCACTTGAGCCTTACTCGCATCGTTCAACATAGGAGGATACTGAGTGGCTTATTGATCATTATGACTTGATACAGATAGTGGGAGAGAAAACTTGATGTAAATCTCACTTGAGTTTCGCTCGCGTCACTCAAAATAGTAGGATACTGAGTTGCTTCCTGGTTACTATAACTTCATACAAATAGCGGGAGGGAATTTCTCTCCTTGTTTTTAGTGAGCTCTTAAAACTCGATGTATATCTCACTTGAGTTTGGCTTACATCGCTGAACATGTTGATGTCCAGCATTGCGAGGTCACCACTTCCTCTACTGTTCCCAGGTTCCGAGGACCTTTTCACACGCGCTGCAAAGCTCTTCGGTGTGAAAGCATCAACTGGAGAATGGTCAATCGACTTTAGACTATGGGTGAGAATACACAAGTCGAGTGGAAAATTCCGACCGTGATTCTTCAGGTCGTTGCGTGTCTGTCAGTTATGACACGAGTTCCCCGTCCGGAACAAGTACTCATTCATTTGTATTCCTCAATGCATTCCTGAATTGTTGCAGATTAAATTTGCATACCTGATTTCCTCCGATTCACAGAGCAACATACATCCTGGCCAACTGAAATTGATGTTGAAATCGCTGATTATACGATGGTTGGTGACGGGGAAAATCAAGAGTGGTACTCCTCTGTTGACGTAGGTATACTCCCACAGAACGCGAGCTCATAGAACGGATTGAAAAAATACTATCACTCAAAGAAACAGAAGATCTTACTCTGCAAGGTTTGATACGAATATATGAACGTGACGCTGATCCGTTTGAGCCAAGGCCGCAGAAAATGGCAGAAATTTTCGCAGAGGCGGCAAGAATTCATACAGAAGTGGCCGAAGCTCCCACGGAAATGACGAAAACTTCTAGGGAATTGACCGAACCTCGCGAGGAAGTAAAAATAACGTCCAAAGAAGTCGGTGGATTGCCAACAGAAGTGACGGAGATTATTAAGGAAGTGGCTAAGCTTCCGGTAGAAGTTGCAAAGACTTCCACAGAAGTGGCCGAACCTTCCAAAGAGGCAGCAAAGACTTCTGGAGAACTCGCCCAGACTTTCAAAGAGACAGCAAAGGCTTCCAGAGAACTCGCCGAACCTCCCACAGAAATTGCGAAGACTTCTAAAAAAGTGGCAGAACCTCCCACAGAAACTAGAAAGACTTCTAGGAAAGTGGCAAAACCTCCCACAGAAATTACAAAGGCTTCTCAAAAAGTGGCAGACCCTCCCACAGAAATTACAAAGACCTCTAAAAAAGAGGCAGTGACACGAATTAACGGGTAAGCATTCATGTTAGTAGCGGACCTGGGAGAAGAGTCCTAAGAATAAGCGGTCTGGTCGGACACTAACTAGTCCGATAACGTCGAGTGAACTGAACTTTTGGTATACAAAACTGGTGAAGCTGCAGAATCTGCAGCGCAGGTTTTTGTCGTCGAATAGGGATTGGCGCTACTGACGATCAGTTTACAGTCAATTACACACTTCAGTCTCGGGAGTATGATAATTATCGAGCTCTGAGCTTTAAAGAATTCACACAAGGCACGCGAATGCTTCAGGATAGATCAAGAAGCACAGCAGCCGCTAACTGCCGATGAGGCTCACAACCGACTGAGGTGATCAGATCGCTGTGATCTGTCATCAGTTGGAGTTGAGCGCTCTAACGCGACTTGAGATTCCGTTGTAGGTGCCGCATTGACGAGTTACTAGAAGACCTTGAAGGCAAGTGTCTCACTGGGAGTAATAGAGATGAAGAGAACAAAAGAAGTGGTGAAAGCACGACCACTACTGTCGATCATGCTAGGGTGCATCACTCAGGCATGGAATCGCGAAGGAAACTCAAAAAAAAGAAAACCCGGCTCGTGAAACAGAAGTATTCAGTCGAGGGGAATATTGAGCATCAAGCCACTACAGCTGAACTGCAAGTAGCTCATGTCACGCTACAAAGCAAGTGATTCACTTCATCAGGACGTAGTCCCAGAGATTTTCGGACGATCAAATGAACCCAAGCCGGTCTCTACATCGAGTCTAGCAGCGTGAGAGGCGCTCAACCACATGCTGGGTTATTATTCTCTTGAGGCACCGCTGTAATGTTCCACCAGTCAACCGAGAACGGGCACGTCACCTCTGCGACGCCTTCGGAAACTCATTGAGGTCGAATCTGAAATTCGCCATCACCATACTGGTGAGTTCATCAGCTTGCACTAACTTGGTTTACGGAGCATCTTCTTCAGATTCTCGCGGGTTTCGGAATCATCTGTCTTAGCGTTGAATCAGATCTTGGATCGCTCCTTCAAATCTGTGCAGCGTTTTCGTTATTCGGTGCAACGATCACCCTACTTCTATACTGCACTACAGTAAACTTGGCCGAGTTCGTATTGAGTCTGATGCCCGTGCGTTTCAAGGTTTTCCGCGAAGTGCAAAATGGGTCATTTGAGCAGTTGTATGATGACAATGCAGATTTCTGAATACTAATGATCCATTCTGTTTGGTCAGACCAGTTATCACGAGAGCTGGAAGGGTCGGTTCGTCATGATAGCAACAGGATAGGAAAACAACGGCATTTAAGGGGAAAATATCCTTGCTTTACCGAGTTCCGCGAACATAAATGACAGGAGGTTACCTCCCGGGGTACATGTTCCCTCCTGAGCTGATATTCACGTTAATCATGCGATAGCACGATACATTGCATAAACATAAACATCGAAATGCGTAGTCTTACATCAAAGCAATGAGATGAGATGTAATTGTAGTAACCTTCCGAGGCTTTTGAGAGCGATAGACAACTATGATTACTCGTATGTCCAATTCGGCTCTTGAAATTCAATGATCCGCCCCGTCCCCCGGAGAACCTCCAGAACTGGTCAACACTTTCACTGATGCCAAACTATCCAGCAATAGAACTCACTGAGTGTTTTTACCAACTCGGAGTTGAGAGCACATCATCGGATGAAGCCGCCTGTACACAGGAGATTGGGAGAGAGTGGCAACTGGGTTAGCCATCATTCGAGTTTGATTGTTGATAGGACGGAAGCCTAAATCGAATCTAGGTATTTAGGATAGAACCAAAGTGCTCTACCAACACATCAGATCGAGCTACGAATGATTGATATCCCGATTGCCCAGGCTCGCATCACCGAGAAATGGTGCGATGGTTTCCAATGCAACATAATCCGATGCTGGGCCTCTCTCTCCCTACCTTGGAGCCGATATATCCTCTAGTTTCTTGATCTAGTAACTAGATTCTAGTTCCTTAGTTAGTTTGCAATGCAAACTAGATAGGCTTGTTATGTACCAGTAGACGCTACCCTCTGCTTGATAGATGGCCCTTACTCTTCGAACATCACTCAAGTCTGAACGTGCCATCTTTCGATTCGAAAGTTTCGAATACCTTCCTCGCAGGCAACTTGCCCGAGGCAAGTCGAGTCAGCTTGGTTCTCAACTTGGTGACTCAACTCAATTTGTTGAGCTCTCGAAGAAAAACTCAACTCAAAACTTTGAGATGACATGAACTAACTGACGAACCTCTCCCGGGACTAAGCTTGGTGACAGTTAAATCTCGTTGCAGAATACGCGTTATAGGAGAAGTTATTTTGCGTGCTAGAGTGGCGACTAGCACCCTCAATTTGAGGGAGCTCCTGGTTGTTAATCACAAGGGACGTCGTCTATTGTTAAGAATACGTCATTCTGAATGACTCAGTTCTTCCTGCAACAGGGGAAATAAACCTTGGGGCCATAAAATCCTAGATTGACTTTTGAACCATCATCTAAGTCGATGCGTCGAATTGTATACCCATCCACTCAGACGCCAACATCGACAGGAACCGAGTCGTTCCAGAGGACATGAAGCTCCAGAGTCGCATACTTGTTTCTATAACCGCCGTTTGAGAGAATGAGCATTTCCGAATGGCGATCGCTTCTGCCTTCATTCGCTGTGAGGAACCAACAATAGTGCACCTCTACCATAATAGCCTTGACCTTTCTGACATGGATACTCGGAATTCGATGAACAATACGGGCATGCAGCCGCGGTGCACCCGACTTCGCTGGGGAAGGAGAGACCTTGACGTCCGCGAGGGACCGGCCCCCAGCCACTGTTCTCTCCAGTTTCTCGAGTGAAGTGAGCGAAACTGATGGAGAGTTCTTTCTTGAATGCTGTATCCAAGTCTAGACCCCCGTGAGCTTCATTGCAGGACTCGTCGAACTTGGCCACCGCAGCGAGGAAGCCGGAGTAGGTATACGGCTTCGGTCCTGCCTGTCTATTGCGGTGGGGGAATAGGTACTCGAAGTCCTTCTCAGGAAGAATCTTCTTGACACGTTGGATATTAGGAGGGTCGACACCGAAGACTCCGTGGTCTAGTACGATAGCGAGGTAGGCGAGATACTGCACAGCGGAAGTGATGAACATTTCGACGAAAACTATCAGCTGAAGAAGTTGATTGAACTTCAGTGAACTTCCCCTTTGATGAACTACACTGTAGACTACTGAAGAGTCTAGTAGACTCTACACTCTGACTCAGTCTACAGAAGCTACTACTGTAGAGCTAGCTACAGAGCTCGCTATACTGAAGCGAACTACTGTAGAGCTAGCTACAGAGCTCGCTATACTGAAGCGAACTACTGTAGAGTCTACAGTGTGGTCGTCCACAATGAGACACCCCGAACAAGTAGACTCGTTCAATTCCACGTCACGTTTCGACGACACGCTTAGTAATCAGCTAATATCGCAAGTGATTGACTGTCCCGTCGTTCGCTAAGCCAATGAATGAACAGTTTCCACGACGCGGCAATAACAATATCATCTTCGATTAAATATGGCTCCCATTTGTGCGCCGCACAACATGGTTTGTGCGCGGCGCGCACTGAAAGAACGGCACACATGCCTATCTGGGGCTTAGACTGGGCTGGACTAGACTAGCCGCGAGGGAGAAAGCCCGCAAAGACGTCTGAACCCTTCCTCCTATACGTTTGTAAATGCTGAAGGGAAGAAGCAGCTCGGGGATTCCCGATCTGGAAACGCCTCTGCTCAACGTCCCCGATGGTCAGTCGAGATGCTCCGTGAAATGTGTATTCTCTTATGTAACGAGTGTAACTATGTACATATTCATCGTGATGATATGTTAGCT